TCAAAATAAAAAAAAGCACCATTTTAAGAAGCCTTATAACACGTGACCAATAGTGTAGCTAAGGCCAAATGGTGTAGAGGCTGATAGCACGAAGAACGTGGTGCGTGGTAAAGAGCAGGTTAAGAATCAGGGGCACATCCCGCCATCCTACCATTAGCTGTGTGCCCTCAGTGCTTCTGTCTCAGGATGCATCTCTAGACTAAGAATGATAATTTTACTGGAAGGAGTAAATGAAATATTTGCACATATGTAATGCACTTGGCACAGTTTCTAGCACAACTAGAACATAGCAAATGTTCAGTAAATGGTAATCATCGCTATCTTCAGTAATATGGGATCATTTCTAATAAATAAGGAGTTACTCAAATGTTTTTGACATGAATCATCACTGTGTTAATTTGTTCATTCTGTGTATCTGTCTGTTCACCTGATGTAGTTTTGAATGTAGGTGAGGTCTGGAGCCGAAGGCCAAGAAAGAATTCATGAGACGTCTTTGGTGCAAGAAGGTGGTTTTATTAAAGCACAGAGCATGGGGACAGGACCCATGGGCAGGAAAATCTGCCCTAGGGTCATGAGGAGCGGCTCCTTTAGATACTTTCAAGTTGGGAGGGGGTTAGGGATGGTGTAAGCCTCCCAGGTATTTTGGAAACGAGGTTTCCAGGATCCTGAGGGGGCTAGCTATTGTTGGGAAAGGTCATTTATTATTGTTTAGTAAACCCTCAGTCATGAGACCCTTCAGATGTCTATCAGTGCGTCATATGCTTGGAGGATGATTGCCAACATGTATCTGGGGGGTAGAGATAAAGGAAGTTTCCAAAGGAATATGTTAGACTTGTAGGATCCTGGGGTTGGGCTAAGATTGCCTTTTGCCCTTAGCAAAGTATTAACATCGAGGCAGCTGAGTCCCTAGAGGAAGGTCACTCTGCCTGTTCCGAGGACTTAGTGGGCTGTAGGTAGTAAGGAAATGTAATAATTTTTCTTTTTGTTTTCATACCCTCGTCCAGGTAGTTCTGTGAAAGAGGAAGCAGTGGAGCTCCAGTGTAGAGGAGTGCCTCAGTTTACCTCCTACTGGGGATTAAATAGTATGCATGGGAGAATAGCACACATTCTTTTAGATTAGGCCCTAGTATTAAACTAATAGCTAGAAACCAGACCCATTCCTACCAGTACATGTCACTTCAGTGGGAGTTTTTCCAAGGTTAGCCAAATCTCTGCCTGCAAAACACCAGAGACTTGTGTGACACAATTAACTTTCTGAAAATCACCAAGTCCCTGTCTTTGTGGGTCAGGATTTCTGTGCATCCTCAGAGTCCACCCCACCGTGCAGGTTGCATCTCCTCTGTGCCAGACCCTGTGCTGGTTATTCTCACAGTTTCACTCTTCATCTTCCCAACAACGCTGGGATTCCCAACAGCATTAACTTCCTCACTTTATAGGTGCGAAAACTGAGATTGGAAGGGTCAGGTCACATGCCCCAATTGGAGTTGTTGGAGAGTAATTATTGCAGAAGCAGCAGCAGGGGTTACTCCAGCTCTGTCTTACCACAGTTGTTATTTTGTGTCAGTTATTTGTCAGAATAATTTTGAATGTCCTTATTAGTATAAAAACATTTCTTAGCAGGACCCAGGGGCCCAAGGTAGCAGCGTGAGCATCAGGGCCAATTAGCTACTGGGAGTAAGATAGTGGGGGTTTTATGGGAGGAATTTATATTTGTAGAAGCCTTTTGGCAAAGTAATTGAGAGTACGAATAAAAGGGAATGAGAAGATGTAGTGTTTTTTATTTTTTTCTTTAAATTTTTTATTGTTACGTTAATCACCATACATCACATCATTAGTTTTTGATGTAATGTTCCATGATTCATTGTTTGTGCACAACACCCAGTGCTCCACGCAGAGCGTGCCCTCTTCAATACCCATCACCAGGCTAACCCATCCCCCCACCCCCCTCCCCTCTAGAACCTTCAGTTTGTTTTTCAGAGTCCATCGTCTCTCATGGTTCGTCTCCCCCTCTGATTTTCCCCCCTTCATTCTTCCCTTCCTGCTATCTTCTTCTTCTTTTTTTTTTAACATATAATGTATTATTTGTTTCAGAGGTACAGGTCTGTTATTCAACACTCTTGCACAATTCACAGCGCTCACCATAGCACATACCCTCGCCAATGTCTATCACCCAGCCACCCCATCCCTCCCACCCCAACCCCACTCCAGCAAACCTCAGTTTGTTTCCTGAGATTAAGAATTCCTTATATCAGTGAGGTCATATGATACATGTCTTTCTCTGATTGACTTATTTCACTCAGCATAACACCCCCCACTTCCATCCATGTCGTTGCAAATGGCAAGATCTCATTCCTTTTGAAGGCTGCATAATATTCCATTGTGTGTGTGTGTATATATATATATATCTTCTTTATCCATTCATCTGTTGATGGACATCTTGGCTCTGAAAATGTAGTGTTTTTTAGACTTGCAAATACATTTGAAAAGGTTAATGTTGTGTTTTTCTGAAATGGAGAAATTCTTTGATCTTGAGGTTTAAAAAAAAAAGAAACAATGCAAAAATATCGGGCATCTCTCTGGATTGTCTAAACAGTGTCATCGGCACTGCCAGTCATCGGCACTGCAACCACACTTATTTTAGCATATTTATAAATCATCTGAGGAGTATATGGTGAAATTCCAGATTTGTGAAAACCACTAAACTCCAGGTAGTGAAGTACCAAGCCAGCTAATATAAATGCAGAAAGACAACACAGGGTTACGCAAGTAGGCCAAATTCTGGACAGAAGATGGGCTTCTACATGGACAACAGTAGGGCAAGGAATTTAGGGAGAAGTAATACAAACCATCCTTCCAAGATTAAAGGGCTTTGAACATCAGCTATAACGAAGTCAGTGTATATTTTTGTCCCTAGTTATGCCTACTGCAGCTAAAAGGCCAGCCAGAAATCAGGAGTGCTTAGAAAGGGACATTTAAAAGGGGCCATTAAAAGCAGAAAATAGTATCTGGCTCAAATGTGAAGCCATGGTTCGCTTATACCTGGAATGTTGTGAGTATTTTGTTCCACAAGACTTAAGCAGCTATGACAGGGCAGGAGAAAGTACAGAGATGGAGTTGGATGATCTGTGGGGAAGAGGAACTGTTTTATGGAGGCCAACTGCAAAGATCAGGATGAAGGTTCAGAAAATCATAGGGATACGGTACATGTGGACGCTCACCTTGATTAACAGTTGCCATCTCCATCATCGGTAGACATGGGTCAGAGAGTAGATATGAAAGGAACAGAGCATACTGCTGGTTTAAAATCTTAATCAATTTAGGCAGAAAGGCCAATAGGCTAACTGACAAATAGGCAAATAAAAATTCAAGGTAGCATGGGATGAATGCCAAAAAAATGCCTACCTCTCCCCTTTAAAACTCGAGGAGATTTTTTTTTTTTTTTTTTTTAGATCACTTACACTAGGGGTAGGACACTCTAGGAACTAGTAACCCAAATAGTTCCAGTTCTGTCCTAAAACTACAGATTGGCAGAGAAGAGGTAAATCATTTCTTATGAATGGATTTATAATACGCTGTTTTAAAAAGTCAGTAATATTTGGAGATGAGCCTACACTTTGCAGTTTACCTTGGAATAAAACAAGTTTTGGAATCCGGCAAACCTGATTCAAATCCCAAAGCCACCGTGTACTGGCCTTTAGATAGGCTACTTAACCACTCTGAACTTTAGTCTCCTCTTCTAGAAAGCAAGAAGAACCCCTTCCTGAGAAGGATGTGGGATGGTGAAAGGGGTAGCATTTGTAAAGCTCCAGGAGGGGATGGGGACTGAGGCTGTCTGCAAGTCTTGGTTCCCTTTGTCATCTCTTCCACAGTGTGCCCTTTGCAGCACCATCAGACTCTGGGGCACCTCTGAGTCTTCCCCCAGGTGGGCAGTGCTTGATTCTCACCCTACTCTGCAACTTTCTTCAACATTAACATGCATCGTGTCATATTCATTGAGCCACTATTATTTCAAGCATTGCTTCAGGCATTTGGGAAATCATACTGATAAAGATAGACCAGGGCCCTGCTTGCAGGAAGTTTACCTGGGGGAGATGGGTTACACACACACACACACACACACACACACACACACACTCTGAACCTGTAAACAAAGTCATTTCAGAGGATGATAGGGTAGAGTGGGACAGGGGTTGAGGACATGGTTCTTTTAGTGAGAGAAGGGAGAAGGCTTTTTTGAGGAGACAACTCTTGAGCTCCAGAGAGATGACAAGGTGTCATCTGAAAATCTTGAGCGTTCCAGGTAGATGGACAAAAGGGATAGAGGTCCCAAGGTAAGAGTAAGTACGGAATGTTCAAGGAGCCGAGAAAACCAGTGTGAGCATCCTGAATAGAGGGACCCTGAGGGAGGCAGAGGGCAACCAGCCCTGTTGGGCCTTGGAGCCAGGTCAGGACTCAGATTTTATTTTAAGAGCAATAGAGGGGCGCCTGGCTGGCTCAGTCGGTTAAGCGTCTGCCTTCGGCTCAGGTCATGATCCTGGGGTCCTGGGATCGAGTCTCCTGCATCAGGCTCCCTGCTCAGCGGGAAGTCTGCTTCTCCCTCTCCCTCTGTGAGCTCTCTCTCTCTCTCCCTTAAATAAATAAAATCTTTTAAAAAAATAAGAGCAATAGAAAGCTATTGGAGAGTTTTCCGCTGGTAAGGGAAAAGACTTGACTTACCCTTTAGAAAGCGCTGTGGTTGCTGAGTGGAGAACTGGACCCCAGGGCAGCTCGAGCGAAAGGAGTGGTGTCTCTGCTCTCGTTTCCTGCCCCCAGGCCATTGCCCCCTGGCCTCTGCCCATGCCGTTCCCATCTTTCCAGAGTTGAGGGCCCACTCTGACTTCACACCGCATCTCTCAGGGGGCAGAGGTAACAGCGCACAGCCCTTCACTCTTTCCTCTTTTAAGACACGTAAAATATTTTTTCTCAAACGAAATATTTAACCCAAATATATGTCGTTTCAGGTTTTAAAAATCAATTTGATTGGCCACAGGAAACGTATTTTGGCATCTCTGGGAGACAGGCTGCACGACGATCCACCCCAGAAACCCCCTCGGTCCATCACCCTCAGGGTAAGTGCGCAGCTTGTTCGTTTCGTTCTCCACTCTTATCCTCAAAAATTATCTTGTGCAATAAAATAAAATGACCGAAGTAACGGATCGGGAAGTTCAGGCTGTTTTCCATGTAGCTTACCTTATTTGTATAAAAAACAATCTCACTTTTGATTGTATTTTGTAAGATGAGATTTGTTTTTTCTCAATCGGTTAAATATTTTTGAGATTTTTAGATGTACATCTGACAAACCACCACCTTTAAAGAGCCGCTCCCTCTCCTCCCTTCCCACACTCCCATCTGCACCAAGTGAGAGGAAATGAGTTTTCTGTCAAACTCCTCAAACCCACAGAATAGAAATCAATCGAGGAGCACAATTAAGGAAGGATCAATTTAAAGTTAACCTTAGGGTCTCCTGGTTTTCAGGCAGTGCCAGCTTGTCAGCTTTAGCCACTTCAAAAATTAAGAATAAAGAATCTAGAGAACTTTAAGAAACGATTTCAGCTACGTCTCAGGATTATGGGGCAGAAAAACTAGAGAGAGAAACCACAGAAGGGAGCGAAAACTAAAGTGGAGGGAGAAGGAAGGCAGGAAGGGCAGAGGAGAGAGAAGAAAACAAGAGCTAGCCCAGGGAAGGGGCCGCCAGGAGGCGCGGGTGTTTGTGAGGCCTATTGGAACTTTTCACCGACTGGAGAGTTCCAACTCTGTTCTCTTCCGTTAGTCCTGCACTTGCTTCTGATCCTTTTCCTGCACGTGTCAGCAAAGGTGGTGATAGCAAACAGTGCACAGGGGCCCGGCACTTAGGTGGAAGTCCCAGCCATGAAATGCCGTAGAAAGCCTCGTCAGTGAGCTCCAGCAAACAGCCTACCTGCTACCGCCAGCACAGCGGAGGGCCAGGCAGGAGAGGAGCTGTTAAGATTTTGAGTCTGATTCCGTTTTCAAAGGAGAAGATGCACAAGGATGTCAGGGAATGCAGGGGATGTGGCTGGAAGAGGGAACCAGGAGGAACATATTGGGCGAATTGGGACACACTGGGACATTTGGAGACTAGTTGGGGGCTTTGGGAGCAGTGAAAGTAGAAATAGGACCTATTTTTCTTCCCAGTAAGGGGAGCCTCAAATAAGTTAGGAGGGAAATAAGGCTAGAAAGGGATTATTGTCTCACCTTCATTTCGCTACACGAAAGGAGGGAAAGATGTAGGTGCCGTCAGGGCAAACATCCTAAAATGCCTCTTTAAATGAGCAACTCCTCCTACTTATGCTGCTCTCTTTCCTTCCCCTCCTGAACCTCTCCCTCTGTTTCCCTGGAAGAGATTTAGGAGAACAACAAACAGATCAAAGACAGAGGTTTCCCCAGAAAGAGTGCAGGATCTTAATCTGTCAAAGGAGGCCCAGAACATCTGGGGGAGAAGTGGCCTGGAGACCCAGCACAATCCAACCCTCCTCTGACTTGCAGACACTGGAGCCCAGCCTTCTGCCGCCCCTTGTCTTCCTTCCGACCAGTTTCCCTCAGCTTGAGTCATCTTTGCCGTTGACACGCATCCTCTGTCATTATATGCATTGCTCTGCAGTCCGCGTGTGACATGCTGTGTCTCCATGCTGTGTCCTCTCCCCTGCCCCATTGCCACACCACCTTTTGATGGAGAATCAAGACCCATTAGGTCCCCTCGGGGCTCTCTGTTCGTGTGTCTACCACAGTGAGGACACTCTGTCCACATGAAAACATACTGCCTTCCCTCGTCCACACATGCGGTAATATCAGGGGTGCCCAACATATGTCTGTCTCTCTCCTGAACTCCTCCGTAGCACTGGGTGCAAGAAAACAGAGCCTGATTGAGTATCCTTGAAGCTTTTGACCTGAAATACTTACGGGGAAAAGTGTTGCCTAGATCACGCCATTAATAAAGTGGCAGAACGTCATCCATTCCTTGGCAGTTGATTCAGAAATGACTCCCCCACCCCCGCAATTTGTCTTGTCGGTATTTCACAATTGTGAAAGCAAAGGTTAGCCGCAAGAACATGGTATTTATTTCATGATGTATTTCCATTCAGGATCCCAGTGGTAATCACACTCCTCCTCAGTTGTCTCCATCACTTAGCCAAAGCACTTACACCACTGGTGGCTCCCTAGACGTTCCTCACATTATCATGCAGGGCGATGCAAGGAGGAGAAGAAATGAAAACTACTTTGATGATATTCCCCGATCAAAACTGGAGAGGCAGATGGCCCAGGTAAGGTGTTAAAAGCCTCTGTGATGTTTTTGCCTTTCCCCCATATCAAGTAATGCATTCTGATTTTGAACACTAGCTTACAGTGAGTGGACGCCTATTGTCCACCCAACTGGGATTTTTACCATTTTACGCTCTCGCTTTCATTCCCTACTCAACTTGGACCAGACCAAAACAGACCTTCCCGGGAATGGAATGTATACACAGATCCTTGTTATCCATTCTTATGGGAGAAACTGTCTGATCTTGTTGCACCCAGAAAGTCTTTGGGCCAAAGGGAGTCATACCACATACGAATCAAATCAAAATGAAAATGAATAATAAAAGTCTGGGTTATAAAATGTAAATCGGTTAGGTGACAGAGCAGAAGTCAGAGGGAAATATTAGTGCCTCGTGATGTTGTTACTTTCCTCCTGAGTTAACATACTTGTACAGAATTGCGTCATCTCGTATTATCACCTTGAGGAGTTGAAGGTGATGATGCTGCCTGACACAAAGAACTGAAAAATGAAACCTTTCCTGTTTGGACCTTTCCATGGTTTTGGTAGAGATGTCCGTGTCTAGCCTGCCCTCAGATTGCTGCTCAGAAACTTGAGTCAGCCACAACCAAACAGCAGAGCTGTTCTTAACATGCATTCAGAGGGACAGCTAGCTCTAGAGTTTCTCTGAGAATTCAAGATTTGGATTTGTTGACAACGACTGGCAGAATCAACTCTTTCATCCTCCTCTTAGGTTCAGACTGGTGTGTTAAGAGGCTTCTCTGCCTCCCACACCTAAGATGAGAATCTTGAGGTGAAAATTCAACTGTAATTGCTTTGCTCTGCTTGTTAAATATTTTTCTCAACTGTTTGGTGAGATTCTGTGTTGAAAAGCCTTTGGTAAACATTCTGTGCTGCCACTCATGAAAGAAAAATGTGAAGAGAATGTTCTGGAAACCATGGATATTCTGCCTGCAAATGCCCTGGAGAGAGAGGGTCTGGTATACTACAACTCCTTTCAGCTCTCTCAGTATTGTATTGTTCTCTGGGTTCTTTGTGCAGGGAATGGCAATATTAGGACTACGGACAATCTTTTATTGAAGAGAGATGAAAATGTACGAGATACAAGAAATGAATAATTTTCCCTTTCTCTCTTGTTAAGTATTAGCTTTTAATCCTTATTTCTGTTTTCACTGATGTTCTTTTAAAGAGTCTGAAAGCTTTTTCCCCAAGCTGTTCAGATATTTCCTGCTACTTGTTAGTATTTGTGGATCACATATCTGGTTAAATTTCTCTAATGACAGCATTTCAGAGATGTGGTTTGTTTTAACTTTGAGCCATGCCGTCTTTATGTATGAGTACAAACTGGGTCTTTCCTGAACCTTTCCCTTCCCTGGGTAAAGGAGGATCCTTCGCTAAAGACCATTAGCTACTAGTGACTCTGCCAACTTCAAAAACAGAATCACCTGTCTGAGATCCTCATATAATCTATGAAATTTCTGCACATAGTACAGTTTTTTCAAAGAGGAAATGAATTCCTCCTCTGCGTGTGAACACTCAGGGGTAACCTAGCAAGATTGCTCCCTTACCTTCTCTTCTCCATGAGATTCATAAGCTAGGGCTGGTATTGAATAGCCCAGATGTTTTTCCTGTCACTCCAGTCAGAAGGCATCCCTTTGAGGAATGGTCTCACCCTCGAGAAAGTTGAATGAACTTGTATCTGGCCAGGTGAGAAAGGTCCAGAAGCAGAAAGGGGCTGATATAAGCGGGTGGATGGACACGGTAGCCACGGAGGGTCTGTGTGGACGTGCTGCTTTTCCTCACGTGTATGCTTGCAGTGATCGAATGACTGGTGTGGACATAGGCCACCGTCGGCAGCCAGGAGCATATCAGACCTTTCTGAAATCCTGCCGCTCAATACAGCACTTTGGCTGCAGAGAAAATAGGAGATGGCACTAAAGGAATCTGATCAATAAGAAAAAAGGATTCTGGGATCACAACTCTTTCGGTTGTGTTAATTGCAGTTTTTTATTTGTTTCTCTTGAGAATGTTTCCTAGTCTAGAAATGCCAAAAACCGTGGAGAAATGAATTTGTACCTTTTAAAAATAGTTTCAAAACTTTAATACCAAATACTCAGTGATTTTGTTGTTGAACGGTTTTATTTAAGTGCTTTTCTACCACTCAGTCACTCAACTGATGCTTTTTCTTATCCTTCCTTTTCTGGTTATTTGCTATAATGGTTTTTTAAATCCATTTGCTTTTTTAACAACCTGTCATATCCACTCTAGACCACATTCTTCCCTGAGGTTGTGCTTAGCCAATAAAATTGAGTCTTCCTAAAGACTTGAACTAGAAATTAAAATTCCAGTAGGCAAGCAGCTAGTTTTACCTCCTTCCAACCAGGAGCTTGGTCCCTGAGGTTCCTTCCCAGAGACTTTCTCCCAAGAGGCTTACGTAGCGTGGGTAAGGCTTTCCTAGCCCATCTGTTTCCCCCCAAAGGATAGAAGTCCATTTTCAGGTTTTCTTACTTAAAGGAAAGGAAAATGCAATTAATAGAAAATCACCAGGCCAGATCCATGTTCTCAGAAACCCCTCTACTTCAGGTAGCAGAGTGATCTGGAATTCTAGTCATAGGCCAGAAACCTTAAGTTCTTGGTGGTGGCAGCAATTCAGAGGAGTGTTGCCTTCTTGAGGTCTGCTCAGTAGATGTTTGGAAGTGCTTTGCTTCACTTGGAAAACCAATGCTTAAAGTTAAATTGAGATGAATTCAATGTCCCCTCCAAAATTAAATTTGTTCATTGGCAAATGATTTTCAAAAGTAACACTAGGGTGATGTTTAATTACTTGTGTTCAACTTGAACGAATATGAAAAATACCTGTCTTGGAATGCAAAAGATTTTAACTGTTGTGGCTGTTGCTTGCCTTTATTCTGATATAAACAATATTCTGGCATCAAATCGTCTTAAATAAATATGTGAGAGACAGAATTGGGTTCAGTACCAAGAACATTTTTTAACTCACAGAACAAAATGATATAATCACATCTAAACAATGGGTTTCCGTCATGCTGAAAACATTGCTTTTCTACAGTTCTAAATTGGACTCATTAGCTCAGAAGCTCTGCAATGCTCCCACATTGGCATACCTCTAATAAATGAATGTTGCACTCACATTTGTATAAGAACAACTTAGAGCTTTTAAGTTTTCAAAGTGCTTTCACATCTGTTATCTCATTTTAGTACAAATGAACTATCCCACACAACTACTCATGTGCATGTTGCACACAGCAGATGAGCTTCTCAGGCCGAGTTCTGTAGAGATGATAAAGCAAGTGAAAATATGGAAAATAGATCAGAAGGGGGACAAATATATCCAGTATTTAGGGCCGACTCACAATCTTTGGAAATTTTCTTGAGTAATATTTAGAAGTCAGAATACTCTTGGGTGCCTGTGTGGCTCAGTCGGTTAAGTGTCTGCCTTCAGCTGAGGTCATGATCCCAGGGTCCTGGGATCAAGTCCCACATCGGGCTCCTTGCTCAGTGGGGAGCCTGCTTCTCCCTCAGCCTCTGCCACACGCTCTCTGTCTTTGCTTCTCATGAATAAATAAATTAAATACTAAAAAAAAGAATACTCTTAAAATGAATAATAAAGGAAAGTAATGGAGCTAAAGTCTAGAGACCACATTCCCCAAAGTTACAAAGAAAGGAAAAGAGTTTCCCAACATGAAACTTATCACCACTTATAGAAGGCCTTCATTTACAAAAAATACTTATGGAAAAATATAATGATGCTTCTATTTTCACAAAATAAAAAGGGCTCCTAAGTAGTAAGAGAAATACATATCTTTGCACAAATTTTAGCTTGATATTAATGATGAAAATCCATCATGTAGAAGTCCTTGTGTTTGGAAGGCTCTCATCTAAATAAAAATGTCAGTATTGGGGGGCCGTTACCTTATCTGATGCACACAAACCTGAGAAATAGACATTATCCACATTTTGAAGACAAGGAGACTGCGAAACCACATGACTTGCGTGCTTGGGGTCACACAGTCGGAAAGAAATCAAATCAGAACTTGCCTGGGGGATTATATAAGGCACTGCAAAGGCTTTGGGTGAATTGCTCCTCAATCAGTAGAAAGTTGATTCAGTTGGAAGTCTAATGTTTCTTGATCCAAGCAGTATTAGTAAGTACAAGCGATCAGTTACTTCTTTATTTGAAAGCATTTTACATATTATATGAGTTCTACAAATGTCCGTTCTTTTGATATCATTAAAAGAAGAGAAATGGAAACAGGGCCAGATAGAAGCCCTGCCGTGGCCAAATCCATGCCCGGGAGTCCACGTGCTTTATCTTATCTAATCCTCACAATGGCATATCCTGTGCTCAAGCAAGCCCAGGTGGGTGAGAGGTTTGCCTCACAGCTGGCGTGCGGCAGAGCTGGGACTCCCGCTCTGCCTCCCTGACCATATCCTGGTTCCTCTATGGCTCCTGATACCCTGTGGTAGCTGTCTTAAATGATATAAATATTTTTACATAATATAAAACATGTTAATAACAGTTCAACGAATACAAATTTCCCCTATGCTAGAATAGATTACACTTAATGTAGGCACAGCAAGCAGAATGAGGATAGAATCACTAGCAGTTTAGTGGAAACTTATTGAATCCACTTTTTTATGTATCACCATAAAACCCTTTAATGCAAAAGGATAATGGTTATTTGTTGAGCCTTTTAGTGGAGACCCCTCTCTGCACATCTTGGCAGAGCTCTGCCCTTCACCCATGTTTGTGAAAGCTTTGCACGGAGGTGTGGGGCTTACAGCGCATACAGAGACGTCCTTGGGTGTGTTTTCTGCAAACAGTGAGACACTGTTTCCTTAGCGGCTTCTTCAGTCGGAGTTCTCATTTGCTTTCTTTCTGGCTGTGTGACCGTACCAAGTCATGTGGTTTCTCTGAACTTCAGCTTTCTTTCTTTCTTTCTTTTTTTAAAGATTTTATTTATTTATTTGATAGACACAGCG